AGAGTTCCAATCTAGCTTTATATGCAACAGCCATCAACTCACTCAATTTGTTGGGGACACACGAACACTGAGTTGGTGAAAACACGCCTCCAAAATATAAGACTTGATTTTGGGATTTCCCTTCTATTTAGTTTGTTGTAGCAATAAAATCAAAAAATTAAAAAACATGTTCATTTTTTAACAAAAAAAATCTCATAATTAATTTGAACTCCTTGAGTTCCCAGTTTCATTCCTGGAATTGGAGCCCTTCAGCCATATTATTATTTTTGTCTAGTCGCAGCTGTTCTTTTGTGCGGATTAATTACAAATAGGTTGAAGAAATTAAAAGAAATAGCAGAAATGGGTATTATTTTTAGATAGAATTAGTACCTGTAACCATTTTAGGATACGGATTGCACATCTGAAGTTCAATTGAACATGGGTAAGTTAGTCATTTTCATATTTTGGTTCCGTTCTCTGTCCTGCACACCAAACGCAGAACGGAACAACTCTCCGTTCTGTCCTGCGCGTACCAAACGTAACATGGGACCACTGTTCCGTCCTATTCCGTCCCGTCCTATCCCGTCTGCGTACCAAACGCTACCTAAAGATAATGCAGTCTGTGTTGCCCAAATGAAAGAAGGATTCACCAATAGCAATAAGACTAAACACATGAGCTTCAGAAGGCTAAAATTATTGAAGTCAGACAAATCCGTTCCAATGAAATTTTGGCAGACTTGTTCACCAAATCTCTACCAAAATGCACGTTTCAAAAGATAGTGCAAAGTATCGGATTATGTCGATTTACCAATCAAATAAATTTGGAGAAAGCGGAATTAAGGGGATATATATCAAGAGGAGCATCCATGATACATGTATGTTGTACACTTTTTCCTTCGTTATGGTTTTTTTCCCACTGGATTTTTCCAAGTAAGGTTTTAACGAGGCAACTGATGTTCATATGTGAGCATCCAAGGGAGAGTGTTGAAAACATTGGCAGTGTCGAAAATATTTGGCAGATTAATAAAGCCCACACAAATTTTCAATACCCACACAGTAATGTGGATTTTGGAAATGAAGAAGATTGTATTTTCAAAAGGTGTGTGCTGTAAATTCAAAATGTAATAATACGTTTGTTTGGAGTTGCTCTATAAATAGAGCGCTCCAACTACTATCAAGATATGCAGAAAAAACAAGAAATATCAATAACATCATTATCTATCATTCCCTCTTTTATTTGTCATCCCCTTGTGTTATAATTACAATGTGATATTTTACACCTGCTTTGCTCCTATCACTAGTAAAGATTATCTCTCTAACTTTTACATATTTATAACATAAAACATTTTGTAAGAGTTCAAAACTACCTAAACGCACTTAAGCTGTACATAAGGCAAGTTATGGTCTATAAAAAGCATCCCCTTTGGCCCTCTGAAGATCATAGCTCAAAGTTCAAACCATGGATTTCAGTGCATATTATCTTGTCTTCTTTTCTGTTCTATTCATGCTGCAGTATAATTCTTATAGAGTCGCTGCACCATATAGCAACTAAACCATATACCCTCAACCTCAAGTGTGCCACCATTTGTCAACCCTAGATCATCAATATCATAAAAGAAGATTTCCATTTCCTGACCGAAAGCTTTTGCAGTCGAAACCAAAAGCTGATGTAGAAGTAGCACAAGACCGGTCTGGAGATTACAAGTCAATTTTCGACTGCACCAATTATCATACACGTCAAGGCCGGCATTTACAAAGAGTACATCAAGATTAAGAGGACCATGCTGAACATAACATTCATCAGAGATGGCATCGACAAAACAGTTGACACGGGGAACAAAATGTGGAGATGGTTAGGTCACTTTTGAATCGGCAACCTTTAGTGAGTTTTTGGAGCTCAGTATCATTCCCCGTGATAATTGTTTTACCGATGCCATCACTGATGAACGTTATATTTTGCATTGTCATCTCAATCTCGATATACTAACTGTAAACTTCTGATGTGTATAACAATTCTTTGGGTCGTTGTACAACGTAGATTAGACCCAACAGACAAAGGCTTGGAAATTCACTTATAATCTCCAAACCCATATTGTGCTACTTATACATCAACTTTTGTAGAAGCTTTCGATTAACAGTAAAGTCACAAAATGCAAACCTTTTTTTTTATGATGTTGAAGATCTATGTTTGACAAAAGGTTAACAAAAGGTTATTATTATTATAATTATTATTATTATTATTATTGTAGAGAAATTATATTGCATCGTAGCTATAAGAGAAACTATCACAAGAAAAAAATAAAAGCTTTTCTGGCTAAGAAAAAGTTATCCATGGAGATTGAGCTAGTTCATTAGCAAAATTGTAAGATGGGAAATTTTTGGTTGCAGCTGTTTGTTTTAGTTGTGGACCTACTCAAAACTGTTCACTTTATAAGATTTCGTATTTATGATCAAGACATTTATATTATAAATCACTATAAAGATTGGCTACACAAAATCAATTAAAACTAATGTCATTTAATCTTCAAACTGTACAAAAATAAATAAACGGAATTGGTAATGTATTACGAACCGTCTATGTAATTAATAGAATAGTTGACTAAATGATTTTATTTTTAATTCATTTTTTGTAAATATGATCTTAACATGGTTATTCATACTATTAACAGTTATGATCATAAGCACAAAGCTTTGTGATTCAAACACAAACAGTTTCGAGTAGGAATTCCAACTCATCCTCGAGTAGGTAAGTATTGTTCTTATGATAAATTATTGTCTTGGTAACATTGAGCTCTTACAAATTGTTCCATATTTTTTAGTCTTCATTACACAAGCTATCAATTTAATTTCCCGAACGAAACTATACATAAAAACCCCCAAAAAATCTATGAAATGTAAGACAAATATCAGTTACCCCTTTGAGTGGGACAAATATCAGTTACCCCTTTGAGTGGGCGCTCATGTGCTTCAACAGCTTGACCAGAACATGATTATCTTCGAACCTGTAACAGAAATCAAGCGATAACTTTTCGATCAACCTTCAAAAACCCATTTCCAATTTTCAATCAAACTTCAAATTTTCAAAAAAAATTAACGTGGGTGCGAGTGTGGCGGCCTGTCTAAGGCGAAAGAGCTTCTGAACGAGGATTCTGGGAAGCTCCGGGCAGCACCAAGTAACCCATTTAAGCGCCGTGGTGGTGGTGGCGGCGGAAGAGGAGGAGTCAGTCTTCATGGCCTCGAGCTTCTTGGCGGCTTTGTCGATGGAGGAGCGGACGGACTTGTAGGAGTTGGTGCGGTAGATGAGAGCCCATGAGATGGCCTCGCAGACAACGGCGCCTCGAGGCCGAAGAGGGAGGTAGGAGGCGGTGTGCATCGGAAAATCACCTAGAAAAGGCGAGATAATTGGAATATTGGAGTGTTTGATCTGATATGGTGGTGTTCAGATTTGTTTGTTATAGATTTTCAGATGTGAGAATTGGATCATCTGGGTCCTCCTCCTCTTCTTCTTTAAATGCTTGTCTTCGCCAGAATCACAGAGAAAAGAAAGAGAGAGAGATGTGAGTGAGATGGAGTCATGGAAGGGTGACTTGGGTCGCTTTGGTGGCTTTATTTTTGAGCCGTTGGATTTAGATCGAAAATTAATCTGTGATTCGTGAATAGTATATCATTCAATCAGTTTTTGTCAAGTACCGTTTGTGTTTAATTTTAGGGAATTGTTATTGACACTCCAAAAATCTCATTCTACAATCCAAACTTTCTATATTTGGAAAGAAAAATACACTTGTGATGAGTGTAAAATGAGATTTTTGGAATATCGATAACATTTTTCTGATTTTAAATAAAAATATTTAAAATAATTTTTAACCGTACGATATATAATGAACGGACACGATTAACATACCTATGAGTTATCACAAAGGAGATTCGTATTCATTTATGACCTGCCCAACTCTGCGACCAAAAGGGGCCCACTACGTATCAAGTCACGGGCATGGAGGAAAATCTGTGGTGAGACCTTTAACTCGACTTCTACCTCTATTGGCGCAAATATAATGGGTTGAAGAGCATGTCTATATAAAGAAGAGAGGGACCCAATAGAAGGGTTGAATTTTGGACGTCTCCTATGGACCACTATGCTTTTTATGGAATGGGATCAAGTTCAGAAATTTGATGGATAACAGGTCACGTTCCTTGTGTTAGAGAAGAAATAGGCTATCTTCGAACCGATGACTAGTCAGAAAGCTCGTTTTAGCCTTTTGATCATTCAAGATATTAATATTTTAATGAACAATACAGAGTCATATTTGCCTCCATCTCCAACCGAGGGCCAAAGGGCATAGAGCTTATTTTAACCCTGTCACAAAAAACAATCTCCAACCGATGGCCAAACATAATTTATTATTTAAAATCTATAACTAAAATTCAAATCCAACTTAAATTTTGTAAAATAGAAGTTATAGGAAAAAAATATAATTTAAAAAAAATATATGAAATAAATTTTGTAAAATAGAAGTTATAGGAAGTTATAAAAAAAATAGAATTTAAAAATAGAAGTTATAGGAAAAAAATTTTGTAAAAAAAAATAAATAAATAAAACTATAAAAAAATTCAAAAATAATGACTAGATGACGTCAGTTAGCAGTTGCATTTGAAAATTTGGCCTAGCATTCATGTCGGTTATATCCGACAAGAATACTCACATTTATGGCTAGCCCTGTGGCCCTTTCAGATTTTGTGGGACCCACAAGCCCTCTGGCCTAGCCCTCAGTAAGAAAAGATTTCGAGCATTTTTTTGCCCTCTGAACCCTTCAGTTGGAAATGGCCTTATGTGATCTGGAGTAGAGTTCTCTCCCCTCTTTTTTTTCCCTCCCCTTCCCTCCTCTCCTATTTGAACGATGACAGTTAAATCACGTCAACATCTTATATTAATTTTTTATAAAAAAAAGCAAAACAAAATAGAGAATGTAAGAGAGGGATGGATGGGGATGGAGGGAAAGAAGAGGGAAGAGAATCTAGTCCCATTTGCACACTCATAATTTGATACTCTTAATACAAATATATACACAGTTATACGTTCCCTTGGCTTTGGTCATACAAATGCTATGTTTGTACGTCTAGCTACAATTTCAACTACGTGACGGCCTCACGCACGCTTTTGATTTGGTAAGAATTACGGACGACAGTGGCCTTCATAGCTCGGTGAGTGACCTTCTCTGCTCCAGTTGAAACCTTTGATTTGTTGGTTTTTGGACGAGGAGAGGAGAGTTTTGGTGGGAAAATGCAGCCACGCGGTACAACGAAAACAACAACAACCAAGCCTTATAAATTACAAATCTGTAAAACATCCAACATAGACTACAACCTCCAAAGCAAGTCGATGAAGAGGCTCTCAGTGGTAAGGAACTATCAAATAAAATGTCATACAGGAATTGTGACGCCAAGTAACAAGTTAACTCTAACAGAGAGAAGTAATATCTACTCACCTTCTCCCCACTCAACAACATACCTACTTTGAAATTAAAATTTTGGGTGAACATCGAATATCGTTTGTATAGACCACTTGAGGACTTGATCTTGAACACTCTATCCTGTCCTTTTTAACTTTTGATTTCTGGACAAGTAATTTCCTCCAGCTGCAACAGCATGAAAACGAAAAGGAGGCATGACTAATCTTGCAGAGTTTAATTTCGAAATCGAGATGCGATTAACAAAAGAAGCAGAGGTTTGCTATAAATCAGTACACACGAACGGGACAGGCTGATCAAGCTATTGTAGATCGTTCATTATTTGTGCAGCAAGCCAATCAAGTTCAGTAAATTGTCTTCTGTGCTTTTAACTTGGTAACACAGTGAGAAAGAAATTGACCAAATTGATTGATCAAGCTGCAGAAGCCGATTTCTATGAAGGGAATAAAAAATACAGGCATACATAATTCCGAACCCAACTAAAACAAAATAAATAAACTTACCAAGATCAACAATAATACAGGCATATCAGGACTTGGATCTTCTACATCAAAAACAAAACTTCTCATCCATGTGAGAGTGGCGCAGTTCAACTGTATGATCAACAGTCCCAACCAGAGCGCCTCCGCCTTTCTCTAGGTTTATCTCTAGAACTGCAGTAGACACAACAAATGAAACTGATCAGCACCAATCAAAAACATAAAAAGACATTAAAAATTCCAACTAAGAAGAACCTTTATTAACCTTTCAGAGGGCTTCTGATTTGCATTTACTCCAGAGTTCTGAGAAGATGTAGGAGCGGGAGTAGGAGCGGGAGTAAGAGCAGGAGTAATTGTACTGGTTGCCTGAGTTCTATATACATCCCCACCAATTGAACCACCAGATACAAATCCTCGTAATGCTGGTCTGCTGGGTGCACTATAGCTGTTACCTGAAGCTTGACTTGGAGAGTTGGATGAAGCAGCAACGAATTTAGTCTTGAACTGTGACATCATTCCTGTCCTCACAGGAGTTACTGTAGCAGGTCGACTAGCAACGGTATGCGATGAAGAATTATTGGATTCCGTATTATATCCAATTCCCAGACCAAAATCCACCCCACGCACACCTCGACCACCACCGCCACCACCTCCCCTCCCTCTACCTTTCTTTCCACCTGCAGAATCCATATAATATCATCATGTGAAATTCTAGAAAAGACTAATTTAATATGCAATGAACCTCCTTTAGATATCCAGTAAAAGCTACTATCCTTATCTTGCAAACGAATCTTAGATAGAAATTTTAATATGATCAGACTTTATACCTCCTTTTCTTGAATCACGTTTGGACCTGAATCTCCCATCCTGATAATAAACAAGGTAAATCCCATTAAGAAATGAAGCATGTAAGATCTGAAATCTAACATCTAAAGCTATCAAACAACAAACATAGTAAAGGAGAGCAACAAAAGTTCCATAAACGAGATTCACCCTAAATAACTATCAAGATGCACAACCATGTAGGAGACAGAAACCAATTAAAGAGAAAAATACAGAAAGTATTGCAGTGTATTTTTGTGATGGATACGAAAAACAAAAGCTACAGGTAGCAAGCAAGCAAGCGTTAAAGACACAAGATTCAAGAAGCGATGTATGAGCGGCTCTTGTAGTTTAAAACTTCTAACATATGCACGCGCAACCATCTATCATGATAACCTGTGCATTTATGCCTATGAAATAAATTGGCGCAAAGGAAAATGGGTGACAATTTACTAAAGGTTCATGACTGGTAATTGTGATTTAGTACTCAAAATGCAATTATCTCTTAGTTGTCAAATGCAAATTAGTTGGCCTCAAGTGACATATAGGCAGACCAGAATGCGAGCGAGTATTTGGAGGACCAAGGTGCTTTATAATACATAAAAAAGTATTTAAGTCCCCAGACCGAGCTTCATCTTTCAATTCATCTCTATGAATCAATCCACAACACAACAAGCCAAAATACACCCTAACAACTCCTTTGCTATGCAGACCATGGTCTGAAGTACAGATGGGACTACTAAAAACCGTCTAGTTACTCTATCTAAACTAAGTGCTTTTCCAGAAATTGACTATCTTGACATTATTAAGTCAAAGATCTCAAGATCCCTGTAATTGCAGGACATACTGAAGCTTTTCTAAATATGGCCTTGAAGACCATATGGTTCATCAAATCCATCTTGGCCTCTCAAAGTGCACTATAAATCAGAAGCAACCTATGCACCTTTATTGAATGTAATGTAGTTTATTTGTGAGGCAAACACCTGTAGGTGTAATTGTCCGGATTGCATAAAGAGAACATTTTACCAGAGGCCATATTAATAACTTGTAAGTGCCTGGCCCCAGAACATAAATGCATTATAGGATTACAAAACTATGGTTAAGTTATAACCAACATCTCCAAAACAAGAAGGCATTAACATAGTTGGATGCATGCATAAACTCACTATATAAACCACAAAAAATTGTTAATAGTAGTGCAAAATTACCTTCATCGCAAGGTCCATGAGCTCCGTGGAAACAATCTGACCAGCAGCAACCAAGCTATTAACCAACTCACCAGCAAAACGTGCCTCTTTCTGTGTAATAAGAGTGTATGCAGTGCCATCCTTATCACCAGCACGACCTGTTCTACCAATTCGATGGACGTGCATGTCCATGTCTTTTGCAATATCAAAGTTCACAACTGACTTAATTGACTTGATGTCAAGACCACGGGCAGCAACATCAGTTGCAACAAGAACATGGTAAATGCCAGATTTAAATTTTTGCAGAATATCCATCCGAGATGCCTGGTCCTTGTCACCATGCAGAGCTGTGACTTTAAAACCTTTCTGTGCAAGCTGTGACTCGATCTCATCCACTGCAGCCTTTTTTGAAGCAAACACTAGAACATCACCCTCATCAATCATCCCAGGTAACTTCTCAAGAAGCCAGGGCAACTTCTCAGCGTCAGAGGGAATTACATGAACAACCTGAGTGATATCCTCATTGGCCATTCCCACCTCACCCACTGTAACTCTTATAGGATCAGAGAGAATCTCCCTAGCCAACTTTTCAACTTTACGAGGCATTGTTGCAGAAAAGAGCAATGTCTGTCGGTCTGGTCGAATCTGACCAACAATAGACCTAATTTGAGGCTCAAACCCAAGGTCAAACATCCGATCAGCCTCATCAAGTACTAGGTAAGTTGCCCTTATCATTGTCAGTGCCTTCATTTTAAGCATGTCTATTAATCTCCCGGGAGTAGCAACAACTATTTCACATCCTGCCTTAAGTTCTTTGAACTGATCAAGCTTAGACATTCCACCATATACAGCAGAGACACGTATCCCATGTGATTTAGCAAATTTCTTGGACTCTAAGTATATTTGGTGCGCCAGCTCTCGAGTAGGTGCACATATCACTCCAATAGGACCCTCTTCTTTTTGAAGTTCTGGCTGATCCATAATGTGGACAATCATTGGAAGGACAAAAGCAGCAGTCTTTCCAGAACCAGTTTTCGCAATACCAATGATATCTCTCCCGGAAGAACTATGGGTAGAGCTTGGCACTGTATCGGTGTCGGCTTTACATAGTCTTGTTTTTTTATGGCAGTCATCAGCTGTGAAGAAAATCCAGAGTCTTCAAATGTCTTGACCGGCCTTGGCACATCAAAACCCGACGCACGGATGGCCAAGCTCTTCTTGTACTCAAAAACATCCTCCTCACTCATCCCTAAAGAACGAAAACAAAACATCAGTTAACTTTCGTCTTCCAAATCAAATTTCTCCTTAAGAACTTCTACCAATCTATGTTCTCTCTCACTCAAATTTAAATATTTTGCTACGCATTTCACCTAAATTCAGAAAAACCAAAACAAAATTCTCAGTTGGTTGAATGGAATTTACCTGAAATCGACTCTTTCTCCTCGTAAAAATCCTTATTAAAAGGCTCGTAGTCGATTGAACTATGATCGAGAGCTGGAATTGGCTCGATCTTCCTCTTGTCAAGAACAATGGGATTATCATCCGAATCGTACTCCAACAACCCGGCATCGACGGCCTTGGCGGCCGCATATACCTCCTCGTCGGAGTCATATCCGGCGTGTAAAGCATCCGATGCCAGCGTGAGCATCACGTCCTTCTTAGCCCTCAGAAAACTCTCCATGTGATCCTCCTCCTCATCGTCCTTGTACTTCTCGGCTTTCTCTTTCGGCTTCGGCGGCGGAGCTGACCTCACCTCCTCGTGAATCCCCTCCATGAAAGCATCCAGAGGATCTACTTCCTCGTCACCGCCGCCACCGTCGCCGTGGCTGTTGTCATTCCCGGGGTCATTGGAACCATCGTTGTCGTCGTAATCGATGTTGTCGAGGTCGGTGTCTTCGAAGTTGTCGTGGCTGTTTCCGCCGCGAGACGACGGAGGGACGTAGAGCCGCTGAGGGGCTTGCTGTGACCGCTCGAAATCGAAGCTTGATTGCTTGTTTATGCCAAAGCCTTCGAATCCGAATTTTCTCTTCGACATCTTTGGAAATTGGTCAGCCTCTGTTACAGTGACGAAAACCCTAAATTGAATTTTTCAGAAAAAGAGAGAGAGATTGAAATTGATAAACCCTAAGGTGTAGGGTTTGGAATCGGTTGGGGGTTTGAGCGGTGAAGAGATAAAAGGAGGGTAGAGAGTGGGTGTAAGGAGAAGTAGTGAGGCGGAGGGAGGCAACGGCTGCCGATTATCAAATGAGATTTGGGAGGGACCGGATGCCGCAGGCTAGTTCGGGTCGGGTGCTGATTGGATCTCCTCTCTCTTTGGGCTCTTTTCCGTCGTTGGGCTATGTTGGGCAAGCCCAGTTTGTAGCAAACGGAAATAGAAATTTCAAGGGTACGCATTAGTGCACTCCAAACTTTTTATTTAAAAAAAAAAAAAAACATTTATAAGGAGCGCCCAATGAAATTTTTAGAAAGTGAATAAAAATATTCAATTATTGTTTTTCCAATCTTTTCTTTTTGGGATTAGATTTTTTTAATTTTGATATGTAAAGAAAAATGTAGAACTATGCAGATAATTACAAACTAAATCCTCAAGCACACGTAAAAATTTGTACCATAAAAATGTAAGCATTACATGCAGTGGCGGAGCCAAAATTTTAGTGACAAATCCCGGCTCGAACCCCTACCACATCCTGGGCTCGACTCCGCCGTACACAATATTATCCGTTTTGGGCCCCGACCACGCCCTCAAGGTTTTGTTTTTGGGAACTCACACGAGAACTTCCCAGTGGGTCACCTATCATGGGATTGCTCTCGCGCGAACTCGCTTAACTTCGGAGTTCCTACGGAACCCGAAACCAGTGAGTTCCCAAAATGCCTCGTGCTAGGTAAAGATAGGAATATACATATAAGGCATCGATGATCCACTCACATGGATGATGTGGGATGTTACAATTCACCCCTTAGGGGCCCGACGTCCTCGTCGGCACACTTCTGCCCAGGGATTGGCTCTGATACCAATCTGACACATCCCGGCCCGGGCCCCCACCACATCCCGAGCTCAACTCCACTGTACACGATATTGTCCTCTTTGGGCCCCAACCACGCCCTCACGGTTTTGTTTTTGAGAACTCACACAAGAACTTCCCAGCGGGTCACCCATCATAAGATTGCTTTTGCGCGAACTCGCTTAACTTTGAAATTCCTACAGAACCCGAAACCAATGAGTTCCCAAAAGACCATTCCCCTGGGTGATGCGGGATGTTACATTTAGCCTAGGAGAGGCCCAAATGTCTCAATCTAAAACGCTCTCCTTATCTTACAAAAAGTATGTTGTGTGGTGAACAACTAATCAACGACGTTCAGCTCTAGTATGGTGTCGTCTTCATCATTCTATTCCTTAAACCAAACCCCAAACCTCTCTAACTTTCTTCCTCTCTTCCCCCATTAATCCCCAAACCAAAGTTCTTCTCATGATTCACAAACAATGGATTGCCTGAACTCCATAAATGTCCTTAAAAATAGATTTATTCCTCTATGGAATCTCAGAACGACCCATAATAGCTCTTCTGTCACAAAAATACCCTCAACTCATAAGCTTTGCACTGAAAAATATTGAGGACCTCTGGACAGCCCTCGTTTTAGTTTTGTTGCCTCTCTCACTCTCTTAACTTTCCTTATGTATGTATGCTCTGTCAAATTAGGGCTACAAAAGCCCACAAATCATTGTATATCTTAAATATAAATCCGTTGTACCTCTTTTACATGGATTAAATTCTTGTATATATCTTAGTGCTCACCGATGAGAATGTCGATGTTCTCTTGAATCAAAGTCAATCATTATTGTAAAATATATTTGGTTTCTCCATTGGTATCATTTTAATATATTCGTGCCACTTTGGTGTTGGTAGTTTCATCAATGGCTCGACATGGCATCGATATACCATCCATATTATTCACACTATGTTGATATTCTATTGTCACGAGATGTTGATGTCATCTCTATTTTTTGTCAATATGGTGTCGATATTCGATGTATTGTTGATTTGAGTTTTAACTTCAATCAGCAATCAAAACCCATAATACCCAAGTGAAGCAATCTTTAATAGTTCCCCACAAGTGAAAAATAGAGACAATGATGCATAAACCTAGAAAAAATAGCACCAACATTTACGCAAATTGACACTAATGGGACTAGTGGTGGAGGGGTTGTGTATGTGGAAAACAGGGTGAATTTATTTATAGTAGAGAGTGCAACGAACAGGAAGAGAACCAATCGATACGATTGAGAGAGGTTCATAGAGAAATGGTCAACAAATATGATATGGGGACTATCGATCTTCTCAATATTTTTCAGCATGATAGTGTCTTAGTCAGAATGGACTAGTAGTAATTGTATTTCGAGAGCAAGGCTATTTCTACATGTTTCCTCTAGATAACACAACCAAACATATAAGATTACGTTCTTATCTATGGTAAAAACATATTTTGTTGTGAAATATAGTGTGAATGCTACACATACAAATGCATGAAGAAGCAAACCAACACACCACTAAAATGGACTTTGGTAACAATAATTAAAAGCTTTGGGTGGAAAAGTCTTAGGGAGATGAAATTGTAAACATGAGTGATGACTTTTCTCTCTTACTTTAGCCTATTTATAACATATAGGCTTATTTTTAGCTAAGCCTCTTGGAACTCGATTTCACTTTGCTCCATGTAACTCAAAAGTCACTACTTTTACTCTATGAAACTCAAAGTTAGCTTCACTTTGCCCCTTGTAACTCAATTTTGATCTCATTTTGCCCCTAAAACTTGAAAGTCGTCTCCATAAAACTCAAAATTCGCTCAACATTACCTTAAATCTCTTAATTTCTTATGTAAGTTTGATTTGGGTGCACCAGACTAATCAATTTATTTTTTATTTTATTTTTTCATCTCTTCAATTTCTTTAAAATTTAATATTTTTTATGGTTGAATGTTTTTACTAGAAGATTATAATAAAATGAATTGCAAATGTGGCATAGTTTTATTGAGTGTTGGTTCGCACATACGTTTTAGGAGACAACTTATAACTTCTGAGAGAAAAGAGAGTACACAAGTAAAATGGAATGAACTTTAAGTTCCAGATAATAAAATGATAACTTTTGAGTTATAGAAAATAAAGTAAAATTACAATAAAGTTTCAGAAGACGCAACTAAAAATAAGATTAACATATACACATTTTTATAATTTTGTGAGTTCCTTCTCGTAACATCACAAGGTTCAATAGTTGTAGTTGATGCACGCCATCCAATATCCCAACTTCTTCCTGACCAGAGGAGACAACAACCCAGACGTCCTTTTTTTTACCGTTAATTTTGTTTGTTCACTTTTTCCCTTAACAGTCAGCAGCACACGTCAACAATGGATAAAAAGCCGGTGCGCCTCCCCATACCCAAAATATATAAAAAGAACAAAAAACAGAAAAGCAAAAAGCTTCTGCGGCAGCGCTGATAACAGAGTGAATGAACTCAACGACTCCTCCACCAAACAGTTACCAGTCTCTCTCTCTCTCTCTCTCTTGTGAACTCAGCTCACTCTGTCCCAACGATTCAACTCGGTGATGGCGATTACGACTGCTCCGAGTTCACTTCTCCGAGTTCCCATCTTCACGACGACTTCTCCGCCGTTGGATCATCCTCGTTTGAGCTCTTTTAGGAATTGTTTCACCTCCTAGTGTTGCTTCGTGTTCAAGGCTGTGCTCGTCAAGGGTGTGATCTCGCTTTTGGTTTCAGATCTGAATCGTTTCCTAGTAATCGAGGCGTCGGTGATGTCTGAGCTCACAGGTTCTATCCCAACTGCTAATTCGATTTCTTTTAGGTCATTTTCGATTATCTCGGTGATTAGGTCAAGGCTGAAGTGAGGACTCAGTTGAATAATTGATTAGTTGAAGCTTAATTGTTTTTATTATTTTATATAATTGTCGTATATTTTATCGAATTTTCCATTACATTTTAGTAGTAGAAGGCGACGAGGGTATTCCTAGAGTGTAACTTTTGTAATTCTTTGTTTGGATGCCGAGAAAAGCAATGAAAACAAGGCGAAATAATTAGTATGTGTTTGCCCCCTCATAGAAAAGACATTCAATTAGGGCTCAGTTTGTGAGGGATGTTTTAATCTCTTCGTTCATTCCATTCTCAGTAAAATTTGCGTTAGCCAATTAGCCCGAAATTAGTAACAAGTTTAGAGCTTTCCGTAGGTGTATTTGAACTCTATTTTGGAATGAACAATGCAGGAATATTGAACAAGGTTCAATGGTTGGTGATGAATCAGTTGCTTTTGTTCTGTTATGTGATATCCGTCACTGAAGCCAGTGAACCCTATGGTTTACTCAAAGCACCATCAGTATCTCTATCGAGTGCACCTTTGGCTGCACCAGCTATGCCAAATCTACCCCTGCCAGCCACTTTGCCAGTGTCCCACTACCATAGACGCTGGCAAAAACATTTCTTGCCACATGCCGCGCCAGTTGCTCTATCTCCTGCACACCCTCCTTTTTATGGACCCTTGATAACTGCTGGTCACCCCCCTACAGCTTCTCGATTGTCAAAGCCATCAATGAAGAGGAGTGGCTTGGCACCTCCACTTGCTAGCTTTAAGAATATCGCCCCAACACAGTCGAGTGCTGGTACAATTCCTTCTGGTTTAGCACAGCCCCCGCTCACTCCTTCCATTTCCAGTAAGTTACACTCTGGACTGCAATCTTATACCCCCCCCCCCTCTCTCTCTGTCTGCAAATTCGGTCATTTCAGATCACTACTAAGATGTGATATAATCACTAATATGCTTGACACACGCACACATACAGACATATAGTGCCCTTCTCATAAGGGATCCATAGTTCTAAGAACAGTAAGAGACCACATTCAATCTGCTGCAATTATTCCATGATTTCAGCTGTCCATATGTTTTATGTCTTCCTTCAATGATCATCCTTACTAAAATGAGCAAAATAAAAAATGATTGGACGACTGATTACCATCATGATAATTTTGGTTTGTGTATTTTTTTTTAAATCACTGTAAAGATGGCTTAAATGGTATCTGATTTGGCTAATTTTTTTGTAAGAATGATCCTTAAATGAGGCCTTAAAAAATATACCAGGTTATTAAATTGGATTACAGGATCACATTGAGAGTGTGCCGTGCATGTGGTCCTTTTCTTTTCTTAGAAATGGGGATCCCTCTATATGTATTGCATGCGTGCTTGCGTGTGTAGAGTAGACTGTTTCAAGTGTTTTGGAGTGGTGTGGAATCTGGCCAAGAAACTATGACAGTGTCACTCTTTGTTGACTGCGAACATATTTGGAATGGGGGAAAAGAAGAAGGCTATTACACTTTGAAGATGTGCAGTTTTGGCTTCTATTTAATCTATTTGGATAGAAAGGAACAAATTGATATTTGAAAAGAGGATGGACAATATGGTTCTATTTGGTAGGGTCAAATATCTAGTCTCTCTTTGAACCTCTTTGTCCAACCATTTTCGGGAGATTCCTATTGGTGTAATACATCTTAATTGGGTGGGAGTCTTGATTTGATGTAATAAAATTTTATTAGGCACTGGCTGTTGTGTTTCCTTGATGCATTTCTTTTCCATCTTTCGTTGTATTATTTATTTTCTTTTTTCCCCAAAAATTTAAATGTATGTTTTGAAGTTATGTACCTGTGATGAAGCACTAGAATTCTTACTTAATTTCTTAAAATTTAATGTATCAACTACCCAGTTCTTGTTTGCAATGTTGTGCAATGTAAGAGTGCTGAGACTGACAAAGGTGTTTTTTTCACTCCTTCCAGACTGTTGCAAGCCAGACATGGTACTGAGACGGGGAAGTCAGGGTTGCCACTGTGCTTATCCCATAAAGCTTGATATTCTCCTCCTAAATGTTTCACAAAATCCTAACTGGAATATTTTTCTTGAAGAACTAGCTTCCGAGCTTCATTTGCAAGTTTCTCAAATAGAGCTGATTAACTTTTATGTACTCGGATTATCAAGATTAAATATTTCGATGGATATTACTCCCAATTCAGGATCCAGTTTCTCCGCGAGTGATGCGTCCACAATAAACTCTTCTCTTGTCATGCACAAGGTTAAATTGAACCCTGCATTAGTGGGCGATTACAAACTCCTCAATATAACTTGGTTTAAGCCTCCACCTCCTTCTCATGGTAATTCTGACATGTTACCCTAATGTTTTAGATTCATCTATACTTGTATATGGTTGCAATATGATGTCAATCTTTATGTTGATATGACTGTAATGTTTTACATGCTAAATAGGTATATCTTCATTCTTTTAATTGATGGTAACAGTTTCGAAATAGCTAATTTGGCAATCTGCATCACGGTAGCTGTCTGTTTGCTTTTACCATACAATATGTTGGGGGTGTGTTCGCGTGTTATTCATACTGTGAAAGGGTAGAGCAATAATTTATATGCACTACCGAAAATGTTGCATTCTTTATTTTGATAGTTGGCTTACTTGCTTCAAGGAAGTTAAATCTCTTGTATGAATTTTAACATCCTCTTCTTTCTTTTCTTTTTTAAGCTCCTATTGCAGCATCACCAGTGGAAGGCCAAGCAAATCCACCCCCTACTCTTACATCCTTAAGTGCTTCAGATAAAGGGAGGCATTCAAATTGGAGTCTTATTATTGGTATTGGCATCGGCATATTGTTCATTGCCATTATATCTGTGCTCATACTTTGTTTGTGCACATTCCGTCAAGAGAAGACTAAAGCATCTCTTATAGAAACAGGTATGTGTTTCAATTGTCAGATTTGTACATTTTCTTGTTTTTTTTTTCCTCCCAAGCCCATAATCTATGGTATTATCCTGTTCATAACTTACTGCTGGGAAACATTTTGCGGACCAACTTTTAGTTACACTTTCACAGTATGCAGTTATCAAGATGATGAAGATATTGTCACCTAGATAATATTCCTATAAATTCTTGCTATTAAAAATAAAAGTATATGTAAATCATGCCTAAAAATATGAGTAAATGGTTGCATTTGTGCAAGTACGTCTGTATAAATTAAGTTAAAGCTTGTAACTAGTTGTATTTCCAATGATCTAAATCCACTTAACCAGCTGAAGTACATTTGGGGTCTGATGAAAAATGTTGCTTGAAACACCAAAGCAGAAAGTTGAAATAGATTTTATCCCAAAAACAAAGAACTTATATAAATTTGAATATGACTGTTCTGCATGATATAGTATAGGTTTCCTTTTCAAGTTGTTTATCTCATGCCTTTTGTCTTCCTTTTTCCTTTTGGCTTTTTCAGCCCCTGAAAAGCAGAGGACTGTTGATACAGTGCAAGCAGTAGGATCTTTACCTCACCCAAGCAGCACTCGATTTCTGGCATATGAAGAACTTAAACAAGCAACAAACAACTTTGAAAGCATACTCGGAGAGGGTGGTTTTGGCAGGGTGTTCAAGGGTGTCTTAAGTGATGGTACAGCTGTAGCAATTAAAAGACTTACCAATGGAGGGCAACAGGGGGATAAGGAGTTCTTGGTTGAGGTTGAAATGCTGAGCAGGCTGCATCATCGTAATCTGGTGAAACTTGTGGGGTACTATAGCAGTCGTGACTCTTCACAAAACTTACTTTGCTATGAGCTTGTACCAAATGGAAGCTTGGAGGCCTGGCTCCATGGTAATTTCTTGAATCACATACTGCCATGTGCCATCTAAAAAATAACTGTTTCTATTAAATTTATGCATTTAATTGTTTAGTTTGGGTGTAGCAGTTGAAAATGGAAAACATTTTACATCTTAATTATACCTTTTCTTTTGATGTGCCTTACTGACACCTCTCTCTCTTCCCTTCTCAGGTCCCCTGGGGGTAAATTGTCCTTTGGATTGGGACACCCGAATGAAAATTGCACTTGATGCTGCCAGAGGACTTGCTTACCTGCATGAAGACTCACAACCTTGTGTCATCCACAGAGATTTTAAAGCATCCAATATATTGCTTGAGAATAACTTTCATGCTAAAGTTGCTGATTTTGGCCTGGCCAAACAGGCACCTGAAGGCAGAGCAAATTATCTTTCTACCCGTGTGATGGGAACATTTGGGTTGGTCTCGATTTCTCCCCTCCTTAAGCTTTTCATTTCCATGATTTGGAATGCACTAATACGTAACTATTTGATTTGCAGGTATGTGGCTCCAGAGTACGCCATGACTGGACACCTACTTGTTAAAAGTGATGTTTACAGTTACGGAGTTGTCCTTCTCGAGTTACTCACTGGAAGAAAGCCTGTAGATATGTCACAGCCAGCCGGACAGGAGAATCTAGTCACTTGGGTTAGTATTATTCATACATTGCTCCGCTCATTCTCTGTTTCAAAATGACCATTTTCTCTTGAAAAGATTTAACGTAACAAGCATGGTATTCTTTAGGGGAAAAAAAAATAGAAAAAACAAGCAATAAATGTATAACCTTTTTTTCATATTAAAAATGATACTTGATTGGTATTTTGCCATTATAATTTTGGATTGGAAAGTGATACATGTGGGTTTTTCTATTATCCAGTCGAGGCCAATTCTTAGAGACAAGGATAGACTGGATGAGCTCGCTGACCCTAGTCTTGAAGGAAAGTACCCAACGGAGGATTTTGTACGAGTTTGCACAATTGCAGCCGCTTGTGTTGCTCCTGAGGCAAGCCAACGCCCTACAATGGGTGAAGTGGTACAATCACTGAAGATGGTGCAACGAATCACAGAATATCAGGATACCATGTTAACGTCTTCCAATGCCAGACCCAATAACAGGGAGTCTTCAATAACCTTTGAATCCGATGTGTCATCTTCGATGTTCTCTTCTGGTCCTTACTCTGGTCTAAGTGCCTTTGAGAATGACAACGTCTCTCGAGCAGCTGTTTTCTCTGAAGATCTTCACGAAGGACGATGATTACTTGACAGAAGTCTACGTTCTGTTCAAAGGATCCCTAACTTTCCGGTATAGCAACTTAGGAGCAGTCCCCTTTTGTGTTGGGGAGATACAGGTTGATTTTTGAGTCTGGGTCAGGTGTTGTGATTGTGATTTTTGTTGGGAGGAAAGGGGCGAGTGTTCTTTTGTAGTCCCTTGTGTGGGGGGAACTGCTGTTTAGTATTCCTCCGGGCAGTGGTTCTCGGCACTGTGGATGAAATTTTGTATATTCCTTGTAAGCTTGGTTCATGAAATTGACTTTCAAGGGTTTCGTGTTTATTTATTTTCCTCGTTCTTTTCAAATCCATGTTATCGAGTAGGTACTGAAATTGGAATGAGAAATGATGGCTAAACGACTGTAGCTAGCAGTTGCTGCCTTACTGCTTTCTCTCCACCCTCACAAGCACGGCGGCCGAATCCGTGGAGGAACAATGACACAGCAGACGGTGCCTTGGATTGTAAAGCAGAAAACATTTCACAAATGCCTATTATAAGTTGGTTAAAAGGAAAGGGAAGGAAAAGAAGACGGCAAGGCTTTAGAGCAGGAAGATGACGGAACAAGAGAATATAAAAAAAAAAAGAAAGACTAATAAAAATGACTTGAAAATTTTGAGTTTTAACGATAAAGACAAAATAAAAGGTAAGGTGAATAGTATCATGATTGACTTTTTAATGTAAAAATATGATTTTTCGTTAAAATGAACAATACCGAGAACTTCTTATTAAAACTCCCATTTAAAAAGGGGGGAAATGAGTTAATTAAAATCTTGATTATTGACGTTTTTCAAAGCTTGAACCTTATCTCTCTCACTTATTACAAGTTCGAATTTGAGACCTACTTTATAATTAAAAAAGAATACTATTAGACTGTACTTAGTACAATGTCCTTAAAATACTGAAAAATTGAAATACAAGAAAGAGGATAAATATTACTCTTTGTCTTTGCATGGCTCTTACCAAGCATTTTGCATGGAAACATGCGACGATAGTGCTTAACAAAATGGGGCTACAACGGTTTTTTATTTTTTTATTTTTTATTTTTTATTTTTTTATAGGAAAACTAATGAATTTTTTTTGAAAACTTTGAGTTTTAACGAAAATGACAAAATAAAGGGTAAAGTGAATAGTACCAGGATTGGCTTTTTAGTGTAAAGTTTTTCGTTAAAGTGAACAGTACCGTGAGCTTTTCATTAAAGTTTCCTTTTTTTATTTACTCGATTGGTTTTTGTTATCTCTAATTAGTGGTTTGATACATGTTATATTTACCTTTTGCTCATAGTTTGTGCAATTTGTACTTCAACTTGTATTAACAAGGACGACATTGAGGGTAGTTGGAGTAGGCGGGCGGTCTAGAGTTCCCACTTCGGAGGGGCCTTCAATTTTTATTTTGTTATATATATATATACACTTACTATTACAAATTTTGTGTTTGTTCAAATAATAAGTTTAGACTTTGAGGCCTTGTCTAAATACAATAATTTTTTGGATTGAGTTGCTGACCCAACATTTGTAAGATTTAACTGTTTTATATAATTAATTGAATAAAAAACAACAAACCTGTTTTGTATGTGAAAAGTGAAATGTCAAACGACTCAAACTTGTTCTTATTAACTTGAAAAACAAACCTATTTACTTCTTTTGTCTTATTTCCCAAACTAACACCAAATTCTAAATACCCTTGTTTATTCTAAGGCCCCATTTGCTCCCAAGTTCTGAGGGCTGGCCTGTGCATTAATGTTGTTTGCATAAACTTACCTCTGTTGGAGTTTCATTTTTAGGAAAACTAATGAAAATAACTCGAAAACTTTGAGTTTTAAGAATAATGACAAAATAAAGGGTAAAGTAAATAGTACTATGATTGACTTTTTAGTGTAAAAATGTGCTTTTTCATTAGGGGTGTGCTATCCACACACCCCTTTTTACTTCTCACACACTCCTTGTTAATTTCTGTCCGTTGATCTTCTTCAATTCATTCGATCTGACTGCCGAAAATCAAAAAGGTGTGGGAGAAGTAAAAAGGGCTGTGTGGATATCACACCCATTTTCGTTAAAGTGAACAATACTAGAAGCTTTTTGTTAAAGTTCCCTTAATTTTTCTACCCAAAACCTGTATTTTGCTCCTTATCTGTTACAAAAATTCCCCTTTTTCACACGCAAATATTAATTTTTTTCCCAAAAAAACAAAAAGAAAAAGGGTCAAACGACTCAAATTTGTACTTATTAACTTGAAAAACAAATCTATTTACTTCTTTCGTCGCATTTCCCGAACACACACCAAATTCTAAACACCCTAATTTATTATTTGACTTGCTCCAAAATTCTGAGGGCTGGCCTGTATATTAATGTTGTTTGCATAGACCAGGGCCGATCCTGTGTTTTTGGGTGCCCAGTGCGAAAGCTCAAAATGTGACCTTTTTTAATATAGAAATATATGTTTAAAAAAAATATTTAACGAGGGCTGGAATCTAGTCGAAGCTGGGGGGCTAGGCCCTCACGCCCAAATTATATTACTTGAGAAAATATACAACGGGGGGGGCATAGTACCTAAACCCCGACAATAAAAAATACAATTATATACAACCATTCCTAGCAAAGCTCCTTGAAATTTCAACCTTTAAGAAATTGTCTTCTCGCATTTTTTAAAGCAAAATCATCAATTATATCATCATACTCCAAGTCTTCAATCTCATCCTTTTCAATGCATAAGATTGCTAATCTATTTAGCCTATCTTGAGTCATAGTGGTCCGCAAGTAAGATTTTAATAATTTCAATTTTGAAAAACTTCTTTCTGCAGATGCCACGGTCACAGGTATAGTCAACAGTACACGATAGGCAATTAAGACATTAGGACACATGTCAGTTTCTTTTACAAAGTTTGCTATTTCAATGGATGTCCAAGGGTTATTAGAGAAAAATGCTTCTTCAGGTAACATCATTTGCAACACCTATAATTCGGAACATAAGTCGGCTCCATCTACATCCATGGTATTTCCATGTTTCAAATGTGCTTCAAGATTCATATAATTTTCTTTTAGTTGTTAATCATCCAATGAAATCAACTTCGGTGCATCAAACAAGAAGCCAAAAATAGATTCAAAAGTCTTTAACTATTCAAACATGTGTTTCAGTTGAGAAAGAGCAATATCCACTATAACAAGACAATAATTTGTTCTAAATGATTCTTCAGCAGACTGTTGTTCCCTCTCATTACCATCAACTTCATCATGATGTCTTTTTCTAGGTCTATGACGTTTAGTTTGAAAAACAAGGTCAATTTCTAATTCAAGTGCAATTTCTTTAGCATCACGCATGGCAGAAGAAAAACCAGTTTCTCGGTAGTTTTCAAAAAATGTAACAAGTGCTTCCAATGCCTTTACAACAACATCAAGACGCATGTCTTTATATTGTAATTTTTTGCTAACCATGTACATCTTCAACAAAATGTCATACCAAATAACCAAACTTAATACAAAATCAAAACTGGAAAGTTCTCCTGATGCTAAACATTCTGCATCCCTACTCAATTGGGGATTCTCAGTAATTTCCACCAACGTAAACAAAGCATTTCTAACTTGGGCTACTTGGGATTTGATTGCTTTAACACTTTCAATGTGACTTTCCCATCGAGTAGTTAACAATGACTTCAAAGTTAAACCATCAATATGTTCAAGCAAAATATTTCAACGCTTTGTAGAGTTGGAAAACACCGTATATATGCATTGACATGCTCTAAAAAAAAATTTTGCTTTAAGACATGAACTTGCCATATCACAAACTATTAAATTAAGACAATGAGAACCACATGGCATGTAAAAGGCTCTGGGATTTATGTCTAGCAATCTTTTTTGGACACCTTGGTGTTTCCATCTCATGTTAGATCCATTATCATAACCTTGTCCCCTCACATTATCAATATCAAGATCAAGAGACTTTAGGACATCTTGCAACTCATTAAAAAGTCCTTGTCCTGATGTATCTTCCACACTTAAAAACTCCATGAAATACTCCCTTATATTTATTGACCTACTTGACAAGTCAACACATCTCAAAATTAAAGTCATTTGTTCCACATGACTTGCATCAGGAGTACAATCAAGAATGACAGAAAAAAATTTGGCTTCTTTTACTTTTTTAATGATTGCGGTTTTGACTTTTGAAGCTAAAGTAGCTATTAACTCATTTTGGATTTTATGGCTCAAATAGTGGTGATGAATCTCTTTATTCTCAATGAGTCGAAAATGCTTTTGCATTATTGGATCAAACTCTGCAATCATTTCAAGTAAACCTAAGAAGTTTCCATTAGAGTCTTCATAAGGTCTTTCATTTGTTCCACGAAATGCTAAATTACGTATGACAAGACATTTCACAACAGCAATAATTATAAGCATCACTTGTTTCCAATGATTTGTCTCTTTCTTGATTCGCATTTGAAATTCTTTATCAATTGTCTGATTTGTTGTCAATCTACTTTTCAACTCAACCCAAGTTCTTGAATTAGTAAGATGCTCTTTACTCTTTTCATGTTGGTCAAGCTTCACACCAAGATGTCTCCAATCACTAATTCCATCTTTTGCTAACTCACTTTTTGAGGCAATTGTTTTAAACAATTTACAACAAAAGCAAAAGACTTTATCCAACTCTTTTGAGTACACGAGCCATTTTCTATCATAAATTTCATCTGTTGGTAATTTTCGATCATAGTAGTGTGAGGAAAATTTTCTAGAGAGTTGTCCTTAGGATTAGTGAGATTAGTTTCTCGAATTGGCCCCTTTTCTACAAGTAAGTCTCTCATTTCTGCATTAAGACCATCCCAAACTCTTGGATCATAAATGTTTAAATGGAAAATAGGTTTAGGAGATTCAATATTTTCCTCTACACCAATATGATCATCATCAACATTTAAATCCACATCACCACCATTTTCATGGTCTTGAGACTCATCACCAACATTTTCTTCTAAATCACTACCATTTTCATGATCATGAGACTCCCCAACAACATTTTGTGGCTCTTCACCAACATCATTTTCTCTCAAATTTTCAACTGACTCATTCTTTGTAGAGAAAAATTTATTAAGAGATCATCTTAAACTTTCGGCAATTTCGTTATGTTTTGCCTTTTTTTTTCTTTTCATATTACCAGAGAGTTGTTTCCTAAAAGACATGGATTCGATAATTTGTTTGCAAAAATTACCTACACATGATATAACAAAATTTTCCTATCAAAATTATCATTCCAACACATTATATATTATAAAAACACTAACACATAGTCTAATATATTATAAAAATTGAACCTAAAA